TTAAATAAACCATCGCAAACATATCATTTGCCAACAAATATATCATTCCTAGTTATTACAACTTTATTTGACTCCATTACAACCTTATAACCTTGTTGGACTAAGGACGACCCAGTGACTAAATTTTTTTTAACTTTAGGAACATGTCGCACTCCCTTCAAGATCAATGTCTTCTCAGATGTCATCTTTAACTCAATGTCTCCAATTCCAAGTACTTGTGCGACAGAATCATTTCCTAGCGTTACACTTCCTTCACTTGAATTCTGATAAGATTTAAATAAATCACGATCAAAGCAAACATGTATATTAGCTCCAGAGTCTAAACACCAATCTTTATCTTGATAAGTAAAATTAACTAGACAACAATTATACCTAAAAGAGGGTTCGGCAGAATTATCCCCATCCACTAGAACATTGACTTTGGCTCTTGGACCTCTTTGATTTGGCTTGAGCTTTGGCTTATATGGCTCAGTTTTCTTGTAGTAGCAATCCTTAGCTAAGTGATTGGTTCGTCCACAAACAAAGCAAGGCATCCTCTCTCTTCCTAAGCCCTTAAACTTATTATTATTATTATTATTTTGATAGTTTTATTTTTGACCATTATTAGGATGACTATTAAACCTCTTATTCTTAAAATTTCTTCCCCTAGGTCAGAAATTGTTGTGGTTGTTGTCATTATTTTCCATTAGATTTACCTTAAGGGGTCTCTCATTTTGTAAGTTTGTACTAATCCTATGCCTCTCTTCAACCCTAAGCGCGTTTATAGTTTGGGTCAAGGTTACCTTCCTTGCTTATGTCTAAGGATCTTAGAAAAATTATCCTAAGAAGGTGGAAACTTGTCAATTAAGCTTGAAACTTTAAAATCTTCACTAAATGTAGTTTCACTATTTTCAATTTTCCTCAAAAATTCTTGATATTCATGAATTTGATCACCAACGGGTTTATTCTCCACCATTTTATAATTATTGAAATTAGAGATCATAAACCGTTTAATTCCAACATCAACAATTCCATACTCGGCCTCTAAAGTGTTCCAAAACTCTTTGGCGATTGTCGTAGTATTATGGTAAACATCATAAAGATGGTCAGAAATAGCACTAAGAATCCTATTATGACAATGATATTTAATTTGTTCAGGGGTATACCATGAATAGAACTCTTGATTAGGTTGAGGCTCTTCTATAGTAAAAATTAAGCCTAATACGGTCAACCAATATCGAACTTATTTTTGCCACATATGAAAATTTTAACCACTAAATTTTTCGAGTTTGATACTATTAACTTCTTCTAGTCTAGTCATCCTTAATTTAGAATTCAAGGGCAAAGAAATAATAAGAGATATCAAAGAACCTGTATTGAATTTAAATGTCAACTGTTAAAACTCTGTTTGTAACGAAATTAACAAATGTGGTTAAATTATTGTAATAGCTCTTGAAACTTTATTTTTTTTCAAAGCAAGTATATATATATATTTTATTTTTTTTTATACTAAAGCAAGTAGCTATTGTTTTTTTTTATTGTTGTAAACCGCTTTAGGTAGATTTGGTTACTACAAAAACTGGTTTTTTTTTTACACTGTTTTCCAAAAAAAAATAGAAAACAGTTTTTTATTTTAGAAAAACTCTTTTCCAGAAAATTTAACAAATTGTTTTCTGTTTTTTTTTTTTGGAAGATTGTAAAAATATAGATTTTAAGTATAGATTTATAATTGGAATTGATAAAAATTACTACTATACTTTTGGCCAAATCAACAATTATTAGAATTATGATGTGAGCAATATAATTATGAGTGTTGTAATCTAAAATTCGAAATAAAACATGCAAACAATACTTAGATCATATAACATGCAATTTAAATAAATACATAAAATGTATAAACATGCAATCTAAATAAATTAAATTAATCGATTTGGAATGAGCTAGCTTGCGAGTCCGAGAAGCGTGTAATCACTGTCTTAAAGCAGCTGAGTCTCTCCACGTGAGGGTACTAACAGACACCAATGACTCCAAGATCCAACCCAGACGCTCGCAACAGCACCTTCTCAATAATCACTTCCACTAAAAGGTTGAAATGAACTGGACTCGAATCGAGTTACCCAAAAATGAAAAAATGATAATTGAAAAGGAAGACCAAGTGTAAAAGAAATAGTTGAAAAGGTAGGCAAGTGTCCAGAATGAAAGGAGGAATTAGAGAGTCTCCTACAATGAGCAATAAGACAGACACTTGGAGAGGATTTCGTTATTTTCATAGAAGCTATCTCAACAGCCTTTTATATAGTGAATTGTGTGTATAACGTACACATGAATTATTCAATTTTTTTCCTTTTAGCCGTTTGGCACATGATGTATTTTCTATGGTTTTCAATGGCTTTCAATGACTTGGCAGATGTCGACTTTTCAATGATTTGTAACCTACAATGATATATTTTCAATGAATTTGATTATTTGGCTTGAATAGCTATAAAACCAAATTTAAGGTCAATAAAAATTATTCTTTAATATACACACTAAATAGGACCAAAAATTTGCAATTGAAATTTACTATTTAAATATAATTAAAATAGAAATTCGATAAAAGTTTTAAAAACTTAATTTTATTCTTACAATTCCTACATATCTCACACTCATAAATCATGTGATGCCGATGGTTTTTATGCTCTCTAGGATGTGTGTTTTTGCTGCTATATATGTTTTGTATGTGTGTTTTTGTGTGTATCAGTGTGTGAGAGAAAAAAAGAAAGTATAGGTTGGAGAGAGGCTGTGGAGTGGTGGTGGTTTTGTGAGGGGATAACAAAGTTGAGGTGTGGGAGATAGGTGGAGAGAACAGAGGTGATATAATTTTGTTGTTTTTTTGATTATGGGGGAAAATGCTTTTCCTCCGGCAAAACCTGTGGTAATGTAGGGGCTGTTTATTAGGTAGAAATATAATAGTAGCACATTAGTGCCAAATGGTTTATGTGGTTTTTGTTAACTATGGGGATTAGATGTTACAGGACCACAGTCGAGGTGAGTTAAAAAGAAGTTTCCCCATTCTCTAATTTTGAATTTTGAGTACAGAGTATTTTTTTTTTTTTAAGGTTTCATAAGTAGTGGAAACCTAGATCTTTTGTGGTTCTTGGGCTAGAAAGATTACAATTTTGAAAACTGCCTCTATCTTTTTTCAGTATTTGTAAGAGCAAGTAAAGGAGAGTTAATTTTTCACAGCAGGCTGGATAAGGAATTTTATATTTAGTGATCAGAAACCATATCTAGATGGTTGATTTGGGTAATGATTAGGTGAATCCTGGGGTTAGCACCACCTTATCTGGATTTTACTTGTTTTAAGACATTTCAGTGTCAATTCTCATTGCATATTATAGGTGAGAATCAATGGCTCGCTTGTAAACTTTTTGAAAGAAAAAAAATATATGTGAAAAATTCATATACCTGATGAGTTTTTGAAATCCAATTTTTCGATAAGTATAAATGTCATGTGTTCTTTTATAATGGCAGAATAATGATGAGAATTTAGATTTCTGTAACATAATAATTTATTTTTTTTTGTTTTATTTCTTGGTAACTAAAGGTTTTTGTGGTAACTTAAGGTTTCTGCAATCCTTAGACAAAAGGGTTTCAAATTTTGTATACTTTGAAGGGTGGCGTTTCTCATTTTCTCAAGAGTGAAGGCCCAGTGGAATGGGTTGGAATCAAGTAGGATAGATGAACTTTCCGAGAGTAGTTCATTTGCTAGATGCTACACATGTGGGTCACAACTTTCTGAGTTGTGGCTGTCTCTGTTTTTGAACACCATCTTTCCATTTGGTGTTGTCCCTTGGTGCTGCTCCCAGTACGATAATGGTGATCCTGCTGCGCATGTCTCTGTTTTTTTGGACCTTTGGTGTGGAATTTAGTTGGAAGTTTAAGCTCAAGGCCTCCACTTCCTACTAAATTCTTTCTCCTGGGCACTTCGTATGTTCTGTTCCTGCTAGGTCAATGTTTTTTAAGGCTTGATTATGTTCTGTTTCTGCTTGGCCAGTATTCTTTATGGTTTGTTTGGATTTTTTCATGGTTTTGGAACGGCCCATGTGCGTACAAATTTCAGGGGTCTGTGTGTAATATTTTAAATGTCAAGGGATCTGAATGATTAAGTGATAAATCATTCTCTCATTTTTTTAATATATACTTACATACGATTTTTTAATATTTATGTCTGTATTTATATAAAAATAAATAAAATCCGATAAATTCCTAATGTCTACCTCGTGAACGTGATATCCAAATTAGGGTCCGAATGGGAAAGGGACTAGAATTATAATTTTAGGGATTTGTGGTCCCAGAAAATATAGGGATTGGTGCAAATTCTTTCTACAAAGCAAACCACCCCCTTTGTTTTTTTTGGACAAAGCATGCACATATACACAGCAAACCACGCCCTTAAAACCCCTCTCTTCCTTGTGACTGCGACAGTGTCTCTCTTTCTCTATACTAGTTTCTGTTTGTTTCTATCTGTGTTGATTTTTCTGGAACGATGGCAACAAGCACTGGTGCAAAGAAAACTTTCATCTCTGTTTTAGCTTCTTTTTTTTTTCGTTTGCTATTGATTTAAATTTATTTTTTTTCAATTTTTTGTGGTTTCTTGTAGTTCGTCGGCCGTTATATGTCGATTTGAAGCGTCGGTCGGTGACCTTGTTTATTCTGGTCCTCTTTACGATCGTGATGGTGTTTGCTGTGGGAATGTTATGCTCATTATCCAAAGGTAATTACAATGGAAGCTTTTTTCTCTTTTATTGTTGTTTAAATTTTATATTTGTTTAGGTTTTTGATGATTAAATGTACAATGGAAGCTTTATCTCTTTTATTGTTGTTTGATAATTTTATATTTGTTTAGGTTTTTGATGATTAAATGCTGAAAGGCTCTTTTGGTTGCCGAGAGACAGAGAAAGAAAGCTTAGCTTAGTTCTCTTAGTTTTAGAGATCAGAAAACATCTCTAGGTTGTTGACTGCGGTTAATCATTAGGTGAATGTTAGGGATGGTACTACATTGCTTTGGACTTTGTTGTTTTGTGTCCATTGTTTGTTCTGGTGCCGTTTATGATCGCGATGGTGTTCAGTGTGGGAGTTTATGCTCATTATCGCACGGTAACTACAATGGCACCATTATCTTTCTTTTGTTTCTTTTGGTCCATATTGAGTGAACTTTTGAAATGATCTTGTGTTCGTGTTTTGTTTTTTTTTTTTTTGGGGGGGGAGGGGGGGGGGGGGTTATATATGTAGGATGGTGTTCAGAATTAGAATTGAGATATCTTTAAACTTTTTGTGTGTTTATCTGGTTAGGTAAATTGCATATTTGTCTGGGCTTTTGTTGACTAGATGATGAAACCCTCTTGGTTGCCAAAAAACAGAACAAGAAATCTCAATTATATACCTCATGTTTTTCTAACTTTTACTAAAAAGGTATTATAGGTTTTGGGGGCTAGAAGTTTAAAAAGTGTGAAGATTGTCTTCTTTTTTCTTTTCCCCACATTTTGCACAAGAAGTAAAGGGGGGGTTAATTTCACAGCATGCTTGCACCAGGAATTTCATGCGTAGTGATCAGAAACCATCTCTATGCCAGGACTTTGTGTCATTCCAATGCCATACCAAATTACCAATTGAATATAGGTCGGAATTAAGGGTTTGGTTACAAATTTTTGTGAAAAAGGATAGATGGACGATTTGAAACTCGCTCACCTGAGTTTTTCCTTGTGGCTCCCTTGTGTTCCTTTGTAATTGTGGGAAAATGATTGATTAAGATTTCTAAAACTTGTAGCTTTTGTTGAATATTAATCACTCAATAGTCCACTTAGTGCTAATAAAAGCGATAAAGAAGTGAATCACTTTCTAAATATTGTATGCAACTTTAACTACTTTGTCTCTTATGATATCACATGTGTAAAGTTCTTGCTACAATCTGGCGGACATTAGTGCCGTATAAGTTTTTGCCTCAAAACTTATTGAGATACTGATGTGTTATGCTTCTAGTTGCATTGAAAACACAAAAGGGCGATTTTTCTTTCATATATTTTGCTGATATTTCATAAAAAAAAAAGCGTGGAGAGAAAAATGTAGGAAAGTCAGCACAAAAGATACACATGTGAGTACTTTCTGGAAAAGATACACGTCTAAGCAAACACAAAATTTATACGTAAGTTCTTTTCAGAAGTTGTTTCCGTCTTTCTCTGCTCAGTGTGTTGTTCTGTTTCTTTCTCCTGTCTCTTGTTTTTTCTTCTGTCACTGATACATTCTAAATGGTTGTTTATAGCTGAAGTTTCAGTTGACCCTTGGGTCTGCATCTGACATTGACACCGTCTTTGGAATGTAGGAGATGATCGCGCAGGTTCGCAAAATAGGTTGGACCACGTGCTTCATGCTGGTGGTGCTAGGCAGAGGGATGCAGTTTTCCACTACCTATGGTTTAGGGTGAGCACTGGTCTTTCAAATTGTTTATGTGAAGCATGTAAAATTGGAATGCGGGAGAAACCACGTTTCAGATTGACATAAAATAACCAAGAAAGGAAAGGAAAGAACCACTTTCATTAGCATTTTATGTCATATTCTCAAATGTCGTATACTCTGTCATCCAAACAAGTTTAAGTTTCCAAAACTTTTAACGGAATGAATTTGTAATGGCCTTTTACTGTTTGTGCTCAGAAGATCTTTTGTCCTCGTGATTACTGAATATAGGATTGTAAAGTAATTGGCAAAATTATCTCAGTCTTTTTCCACGTGCTAGTACAAGAATTCCAAAGATGGTTCCGAGAAGACAAAAGTAATAAAGGAGATAAGGGATACAATGATGCGTAGGAAATACTTTGATGGAAGTGTGGACATTATCGCTCTCTTCCTATTTGGACCGGGGAAGAGTAGGTCAATTCTCAAATCTGAGCCAGTTATGAATCATACGGACTGTCTCCCATCAATGGTAACAAATTTGTTTGATCCATATTTTTTATTCTTCTTGATTTTTGCAAGTTTCTAATTAAATCTTTGGTATGGGATTCACAGGTGCAGGTGTTTGAGACCCACTGTGGGTGGGGTGCCGGATGAAGATGGCTTGATTCACACGAGAGAATTTGCAATTTTTTGCAACAAGGGGATCTCCCAAGCTGCACTGGAGAAAGCTTGCATAGCTGCATGTAGTGGGTACGACAAGGGACAACGGGATCCTTCCATCCGAGGTTATTAGTGTTTGATTGTCATAGTCAATAGACTTATTGAATATGGTGCTGTCTTGAGATCTGGTGGGTATCTTAACAAAACTAATTAGCTGATATTTTATACATACGCATCCTTCTAGGACTGGAGACTGAATGTGCATACAACAGCTGAATTTCTCTATATGACAACTTAGTTTTGTCTATGATGACATGTTTCTGATATAGATCAGGCCCAAGGTTGTTTGACCATTGGGCACTACTAATTCATACAATGGACTTGGCCTGGAGATGCATACAGTATACTGTTTCTAACAAGAATGGTCGGTTTTTTTCATTCTCATTCTGTAATAAAATTCTGATTCTGTCCTAATTCCCACATAGACCCATTAAACTTTATGCGTTGATTCTGGTTAGCTATAGGACGACTAATGTCAGCCAGATTATGAGAATATCTTAAAATTGATTACAATATAATACGTGGAATGTGACGCTTTAAGTTTAAGTCTTAACTTCATCAGTTTATGACCAATGAATAGACTATTAATTGACTAATTTCCAACAAAAATTACAAGTTCAAGAAATTTGAATCAATCATTTTTCTGCAATTACTGAGGAACACAAAAGGGATCTACATGCTATAGTAGAGGGTTTCAAATAATCCACCAACTAGATATGGTTTGTGCATTTTCTCATGAATCTAATACACAGGTTCTCTACCATTATATTTTATATCTGAATAGAAAACATGTGTATTAGATTCCTGAGAAAATGCACATCCCGGCATGATTAAAATAAAAAAGTAGCTTACAATTTGGAGAAAATGCATTTCTCTCAAAAAAGTAGCTTACAATTACTTTAAAATAATAAAATTACATCACCTCGTTCTGTTTGTCAGTCTCTCACCTAGGCCTGTTAATCGTGTGCTGCTGAGGCGAGTTCGAGTTAGATCTTAATAGGTTCATGCCAAAAAACATTTCCCTCATACTCCATTAGTTTATTAATCCGTGAACAACGAATTGTATTGTATCAAATTCACGTTGTTCATGAATCGTATATGACTAGTATATAAATGAGTCATGTCGTGTACTTCTTTTGATTAGTTTCACCTATACTTAATTCGTTTATTTATTGAGTCATACGCGTTTACAAAACGGGTGACTTAAGAAATACTAAAATCTTCTAATTTTGTGTTTGTGTTAACGGATAATGTCATATTTTGAACTCACCCCTCACCTCTGTCTTATCCCCTCACAAAATCACCTCCACTCCACTGCCCCTCTTTCTTTTTCTCTGTCTCTAGACAATACACCAGGTTTGATCTTTGAATCACTAAAATCGCATAAAAACTACTTAATCTATCTGACAAAATTAAACACCAAAAAAGATTTACAGATATTTCAACTCCTCTGATCAACATTTCTATTTATAGTCCCCACATAAATTAATTTCTATTTAAATTAACTGAATCAATATGAAGCAAATTACAAAACATAGATAAGAAAAAGAGAGAAATCTGTTTACCTTCCATCATGGAATATATTTTTCCTAAAGCACAACCCTTTCTTCAGAGTTCTAGCAAGCCCTTCTTTGATCGGGCATTTCTGCGAGTTGATTCTACACCCATTTCTGGGTATTTTCTGCCACATCTCAAACCCGTAGTACCAGGTCTTGACCACGATATCGTACAAACACGAACAGCTTCACCGGAGATCTCTTCATACATAGATGCAACGGCCATAAAACTTAATTTTGATTTCAGAGATGTAACCAATCACTGCACTTTCTTATTTTCATCATTTGCTTCTTGTAATTTTGATTTCAGGGATTAGTTTTCTTTTTCTTTTCTTTTTTTTACTGAGCAAAAAACAAGTACAGAGATGGAGAAAACTAAATACAAATAAAGCTAAGCAAACTAAGTTCCTGGCCTATGCTTCACCGGGGTCTTCAATGTCAGCTTGGACACTGGTCCTTACTGCTTGTGGAATTGCGTCCAACGGCAGGTTTCCTGAGTTCACACTCCCCACTTCCATTTCATCCTTACAAAACTATCACGCTAATGTCATAAAAAGAATGATAGAAGGTCGACATTAAAACAATCTGCTTAGTGTTTGTTGAGGACGACAGCCCCCTTATTCTTAAGAATGAAACTATGAAGTCTCTTCACGTCTAACTTCTTATCCTCCAAAAGCAACATTTCCAACCAATTGGCAAAAGATATAAGAAATTTTCAGTATTTCCCCCTCCATGAATGCCATTTTAGCTTTAACTGGAACCACAAAGGAGGAATGCCCAAAATTCCTCCAGTCAGCCTTGGATCAAACACATCAAACTGCACACGACTCAAAGAATCCAAAGTAACCTGAGCAGGCACAGCTGGCAGAAGCACTGGGCAAAGCTTCTGCAAGCACTGTTCCAGCGAATTCACGAGCCTTCTGCAGATGCGCATTGGCTACAGATGCAATCTCAAAAACGGCATCACGCAGCCCCTCACGAGAATCCAAACAGATCTCTGACCTCCCTCCCTGCTGAACCAACAGCCCATGTTTGGCTGCCACCTCAAATGGTATGTAAGAAAACTGAAAGTTGCGGCTAGCGTGGTATGGCAATGACTTGAGCAGCAAAAGAAGACCGCTTGCTTTACCAATATGGGACGCTGCATGATCTGCCACAGTGGACCTGATATCACCAGCTTGAAGTGTTGTGTACAAAAGAGTTGATACAATGTCCTCAGCATATTTCTCCAACTCTTCTACAGTTTCAGGAATATCAGTAACCTCTCTTCTTGCATCATTGATCCGAGCCTCAACAGATCGTTTCAGCCAGCTCTTGCTAATTTTATGCTCAGATATCACAGATGCAAGGGCCTGAGCTGCTTGGTGCTCAATTAACTTGTTGGCAAAGATATTGTCTATGGCTTCTTGCCACCAGAGCAGGCGCATAAGGCCAATTTTGGGGTCAGAAGCAACATCCATGGCTCTAGCAGTCTCAACATTAAAAGCACGAAGAACAAATGCAGACTTGAGGAAAAAAATATAAAAACTTTTTCAATTTTTGTTTGTAACATACGAGAAATTTGATTATTACCGTTCCATCATTTTCTCCCCACTATACGTTTACATAACAACAATAAGAAAATAGCATTGATAAATGATAACGCAAGACAGTGCATTTCAACCCCATCCTTGGACCCAAGCCCAGGATCAAGATAACAATATTTTACCAGCTCTTAACTTAGTCTTCGTCTCCCACCGATGCCAATCCTACTACCTGAAATCAAAGACAA